TACTGTCTCCCAGGACCAGCACTATCAGCCCCCCCATTTACTGACTACCAGGACATCATCTCCAGCCTTACAGTTTTCTGACTACATGGCCATATCAAAGGGCAGTAACCAATCAGCCCGGGACTTTTTATGTTCCCATCTGTTGTAGAAAGCTTCCAGGTTTTCTAAAAGCAGCTTTATGTTGACCTCTTTTAATAACCCTGTGTGATTTTAGTCCTCAGATTTTATCCTCATTTTTGGGGCATACCCAAAAAAACTTCCCTGTTTAATACTGCTTTGTAGCTTAGTTCTTGGTATCTGCACTAAGGGGCGAGACACCAATTTTTCCACAGAATGACAATTTATGCTGATGATACATGAATCCATACAACAGGGCAAAAGAAAATGAAATACCATTCTTAATGAAGTTCAAGTAAATTTACAATTTGTAATCGACTAGGCCTCATAATACTTCCTCTAAAACAAAGATAATAACCAGCAAACGACATCCCCGACCCCCATCTATTTGCAGGGTGAAATCATTAGCTAACTTAAAACTTAGATATCTTGTGTAGTTGTACCCTTTAACAATCCACTATACCACAACTAAACAAGAATGCAAAGCTAGGCTAAATGCTCTCAAAGCTTTGCTGCTACAATCCCAACTAGTGCTCTAATGTGAGAATCGTGAGAATGATGTACATAGCCTATGTTAGGTCCCTTAATTGGGGATTATGCGCTCCCATGTTGATATTAGCTAGAGAAAGTTCCTCTCCGACCCCTTGGAGTTAATGCAAAATGAAGCTCCCAGGTAATTCTTGGCTGCCCAGATCTTCAAAAGTTCATAACATGGAGGAAGGAAGCTTGGTATTTCTAGTATCAGTGAAATTGTTTAAAAAAGAAATTAAACACTACTCGGATTAAATGTTTAGAAACGAACCAGACACTGTCACAGTGAATCTTACCAAGTGTCCTAGAGGTAAATACACAGAGATCCTAAATATTGTGAAAACGTGCAATTGCATTAAGTTTTTATAACCTACATGAACTGTATCATTGTAGGCAACAAGACATTTCACCCCTCCATGGAAGATGTGGTTTCATTTAATATCACAACCTCCAAGTCCCCTCCCAAGAAGCTCATTGCTAGTAATCCTCTCCTTAAATCTCTTGTTAGATGCAACTGCTCAGAAGAAATTTTCACACCTAGCTGTATAATAAAGTTATCACAATTATATACACTGAAGGATCTAACCAGGAGTCTTCTGGCAGGGCTTGCATCTGCTCTTGTTCTCCACTCCTAGTTAAGAACGATAATAAATTTGTTGAGTAGGCATAAGAATTAACTGGCGTCTACAACACTGCAAACTGAATTGTTGCATCCTAATGGCGCTAAAGCTAACCTATGACACTGAGCTTGACTCTATCAGCATTACTGATACTATGCATCATTGAGGCTCTTGAACTCATTTATTGACTCCAACAACATGCTCATTGGGGAAGCCAGTATAGATACTCAAAATTAGGGACAAAGGAATTCATGTACAATTGCAATGGATCCCATCACACAATTGGATTATTCCTTCATGATAAATTTGATATTTAGCCAGGAAGAGTACCCGAATGGAGAATGTAGAATATAACTTTGGTATAACAGTGTCTAAGCATTAGGATATTAATTAGCGGAAGAAGTAAATAATGAAAATTATGTTATAGGAAGGCAAGTTAGAAGCCTGAGTAATCTATAACCCACTATGATAACATAACCGTAGATCAGTATGTTATGGAGCAACTTGCAATGTGAACAGACTGACTGATGTGTAGTGGCTTTGGTTTACAAGTACTTCTGGCAGTTTGGGAGGCACCCAGATGATGATCAAAACTAAATGTAAATGATGTGATCAGGCCTATGGTGCCTTCTCTTGAAACTCTATGTGCTTAATTGCCACTTATTGAGGAATACAGAGACGACAGTATAATAACTTATGTGACATGTCAAGATATCTTATTAATGAAAATAAGATACCAGATATACTAAGCAAATTTCCTAAATTTGCTTGAAACAGATAAGTGAACTATAGATATGTAACATAAATCCAAATGTATTCCTGTTAACCCTTTGGGGGCCTAGTTCCTAGGCCTTTAGTGTATCCATAATGCTCTCGCGCTACCGTCCACAGGATGGATATGGGGTGCACAATAAACTAGCCACTTCGGTGGCAAAATCTAATCTCCAGACTTGTCCACTAACCTTTGCAATTTTTCTTTAGAATCTCCCATAAGCACAGTATTCACACAAAAAGTAACTGTGTCAATTCCATTTGTATTTTTTGATCTCCTAATTTAATCCCCCCCCCCTCCACTTCCCGAACACCCTAGCATTTACTTCATTTAACAACCCCATCTATAAAATAAATTAAAAAACCATGTTACATTACACCATCCCGTGCTAAAGACTTAACTTTACCGGGAAGTAGTCCCCTCTCTTCTAACACACCCTAACCTGACCTCACTAATCCTCATAAAAACCCTTACCAGCATTTAGTAACTTTACACCTATTCATATACTTGCAACAATCTGCCACATTGCTCCCCTACCACTCTAATAATATGCTTTCTAAATCCATAAACGCAATGACAACCTTCCTACCTTTACTAAATACAGTTCACATATATCTTCACGTATATGATGTACACATTCCTACCCACACTAAAAAACCTCCTTGCTTATCTTCAATCCTAAGCATTCTGTCCTTGCCTCTAAATTCTTCCTCTCTAATAACCCTACCTTACACTTTCCTGGTATACTCAGTAAACTTATTCCTCTATAATTTTTTACAAATCCCCTCTTTTGTCACCCCTTCCCTTTCTATAAAGGAATTATACATTTCTCTGCCAATCCCAAGGTACCTTCCCCTCTTTTCATACATATATTAAACAAAAATAAACCAACCACTCCAACACTATATCCCTCCTTCTTTTAACATTTCTGTCATGATCCCATCAGTTCCAGCTGCTTTAACCCCCCCTTTCATTCTACGTAATGCCCCACCACCTCCCCCCACACTCACATCCTGCTCTTGTTCACACCCTAAAAGATGGTATACCTACCTGGCCATGCATTAAATTAACCGACCACCCTTTTTCCGACATTTAAAGTTCCTCAAAATAAATCCCGCTAACCGTACCCAAAACCTCCGTCTCCCCCCCATCTACTAACTCCCCTAACTCCTGTTTTTTAACTGACAATCCATTCAGCCTAGGCTTTCTTAACTTGTTATCTACAATTTTTTTTCTTATTTTCATCAAAATTTTCGATAGTGCCTCTCCCACTCTATCATTGCTCTCCTTTTACACTTACAGCTAACTCTCTTCACCTTTCTTTTACTCTCCATCAGCTCTGTTCTTCTTATAACACTTTCTTTCTGCTTTGTAAACGCTCTCGTAAGCTATCTTTTTTTCTCTTTTATTCACGCCCCTTTACTTCATCATTCCCACCAACCACTCCTCTTTCCTCCTGCACCCCCCAACCCTCTTATAACCACAAACATCTCCCACATTCTAATACTGCATTTTTAAAAACTATTCCACCCTCTTCAACATCCCAACATACTCATACTTGCACTTTCCTGCCAATATTTACTTAATTATCTCACCCCAACTCTCCTCCCTTAGTTTATACACATTCACCTCTCCCTTACCTTGCTGTTGTTGCCATTTTCCTTTTGTCCCGTCTACATCTTACACAACGGTAAGCTACACTAAATAATGATCCGATATATCAGTTTGCCCCTCTATAAACGTCCATGCCTGAAGCCTACCCATCAACCTTATTATCCACCAATAATAATCCTAACAAACTCCTTTCATACTGCTAAATATCATACATTGTATATTTATTTATCCTCTTTTTCATAAAATATGTATTAGCTTTATTACCAAAACCTCTTTCTTTCTATTCCTACACATAACTCAATTAAAAGGCTCCCCATTTTTCATTTACCCCTAGCACCCCAGATTTACCGCTACTCCCTCCAACATTTTTACCCACTTTTAGCATTGAAAATCCCCAACCACAAGTACTCTTCAGTTGGGGTTCAAAACTCCCACACATTCACTCAGCAATTCACCAAAACCTCTCTCTACCTCTGCCTCTGACCTTCTCTCATTCTCCAGGTGCATAACACATGACTATAACCCACTTTTCACATCCTTTATTTTTACCACTCCACATAATCCTTGAATAATACATTATACTCCCTCTTTCTTGCCATAGCTTATCCTTCAAACATTATTGCTACTCCTTCTTTACATCTAACTCTATATGAAACCCATGACCTAATCCCATTTACTTCTCTTCACTGAAACTTCTCCCACCCCCCTTCAGCTCTGTTTTCACTTAAGCCAGGACATCCAGCTTCTTCTCATTCAAACATCCACAAAAATCATCACTTTCTTATCATTCGCACAACATCCACGCACATTCAGACATCCCACTTTGACAATTTCCTTCTCTTTAATAATCTGTACAGGAAAAGAGGTTACTAGCTCATTGTTTCCGGTATTTTAGTTGACTTTACAACACACATGGCTTACGGAGGAAAGATTCTTATTCCACTTCCCCATGAATATAAAAGGAAAAGTAATAAGAACAAGAACTATTAAGATGAAATCAAAGAAAACTCAGATGAATGTGTATAAATAAACGTGTACATGTATGTGTAGTGTGACCTAAGTGTAAGCAGAAGTAGCAAGACGTACCTGTAATCTGTAATTTCAACACGTCTTTCGTCTCCCACCGAGGTATTAAACATAAGTCATTATCATTTCTAAAAATGTAAGAAAAGTATCGGTATCTGCAAAAATTTTGGTGTCGTCCCATTTCTAGTATAAATCCATCTATGTAGATTCTAGAGGTATAGGAGAAGGCTTTTAACCTAGCAAACCATCAAAGTACCCATATAGTTTTTCTATGCCAAATAATAAACAAAATTATACAATTATTTCTAATATTTAAATAGAATGAAGAAAGGCCAAGGAGTCCTTCAACGCCAGTATCAGTCATGAGACCCAGGAAGCAGAGGTGTATACCTACACCTTCCACTACTCCTGCATCTTCACATACAAAAGATGCGACCTCTACTCTTGCACATAAAAAACAGTAAGTATTAAAGTTACCTATTGTCTTACAATGACTGAAGAGATAGAGACATGTCTGTAGGTGAATAAATTATTTACATCGCCATTCAGAATTTGCCAATATTTTAATTCAGATATAGGTTATGTGTTTTGTGCATTCAGTTAAGTATAGTCTAGCAGATTTTTTTAGTACTCTTCGATGCAGTTTTTAGCTTACGGTTTATGTTTAAAATTTCATTGACAAAATACTTTCTAGTTTCCAAGTGATAATCGTACAATAAAAAACATGATGAAGAATGAGATAGTGTAGCTTGACTAGAATGTAGTTAAATAAAATAATTTTGGTCAAGGAAATAGAGTGAATGATTATATATTACTAAACAATAGGCATTGCTGACATCTTGAGATCATTACTTTTATTGTTGAACTGAAACCTTTTGCAAAAAAGTGATGGATTTTGTCACTGTGTCCAGATTCAGTTGCAGTTAGAATGATGAACACGAAAACTATTAAGTGTAAACCATATAGTTGTTTCAAATTAATTTTTATTGTCTTCTTGTGACATGTAACCTTTTTTTTTTTAAGTTATTCGCCACACGAAGACAATGAACATTAGTCTGAAATAACCTTTTAATAATTACCTATTATTTGTAGTTACATGGGCAGAGTTATGCTTGTGGTCTCTCTTCATTAATGTGCTCATCATATAATCTAACTTACTTAGTTAATGTTAAATTCCCATTGGTTGTAGCACTTATTTCCGTCGATCGAGAAGTGACTACTTGGTGGCCCGTAGTTTCGATTCGCTAGAGCACTCAGCTCAAACACTCTGAGGTCCGGGTTTCGAATCTCCTCCGTACGGCCTTGGAAAACATTAATGGACGTTGTTTCCATAAGCCATCTGTTTTCCTGTTTCAACACCCTATTGAGTAAAAAGGTACTAGAGTTAGTCGCCTGGTGTGGGTCGCATCCGGGGGACAAAACTGACCATATCTGCCGAAATGCTCTGCATTATGAGCTTCCTATATAGTAGTTATGTCATTGAATGTCAGCTAGCCTGTATACCATGTTACGTGTACTTCTGTAGTAAATAAAGATATTTATTTATTTATTTACATTGTGTAACGAAAGTTTTTATAGTTTTAGTTTCCTTAAACCCCATTTTTTTTCTAATTTACATCGGTGGCCTCATATTTTTTCTGTTGAAACTACTAAAAATAATTATTTATACCTTCATAATTTTTATTAACCTATATGTTATCCATCCTCATTTTTTTTCCTCTCAACTAGCATGTTTATCTTTATTTTTTTCATCATTTTAATTATCCAACTCATATTATCAATTCCGGGATCCCGTTTATAATTTTTTTAAGAGCTTATCTTACTGATCCATAAATATTTTGTTTGAATGCAAACACATCAGTGTGCATAATCCGAGTTTGGTGATGAAGAGTACAGTGTTTTGCACATCTGAAGGAGGGGTAAGGATATTTGCTGTAAATATAGCAGAGGGGCATCAATTCACACTATCATTGCGCGCCTGCGGCAACGACAGTGATAGAGTGAATGATGGTGAAAGTGTTTCTTCTTTTTCGGGTCACCCCTACTTCATGGGAGATGCCATTGTGTTAAACTGCTGGTATGTAAATTGCTGTTCAGCATGTTTTCCATCCATGTATTTAAAACTTATAATTAGTAGTGTTTGCAATTTCTCATCAATTTTCATTTTATATGATCTGGTAACAATATGTTTTTATAATTAAAAATCTATGGAAAATTTTATAGGAGTGATTACTTGTACATACCTCAACATTACAATGCATACGAGTAATCTCCTTGGAGACAACAACGATATTGTTACATAGTCACCCATGAGACATGAGACAAAACTTAAACCACCTCTGTCACTGCAGGTGCCCCTCGACCCTCACAATCTTATCCCAAATCTAATCCGAGACCATATAAATTGGGTAGCACCCTCAGTACGGCGCTACTAAATTAATTGTGGACTGTATAGATTATATTAGTTTAACTGAAAAAGGGGGGGTAGGTTTACACATGGATATACTGCGCATCAAGGATAAAAACACTTGTACATAAACCCACCACTTACAATATTCTCTGGTGGACTTGATGTGACTGATCACCCATAACCTATCCAATTAAAAAACATACTAACGAGGACCAAATCAGTCAGGAGTTTAACCTGGAGTTTACCTGGAGAGAGTTGTTCCGGGGGTCACCGCCCCGCGGCCGGTCTGTGACCAGGCCTCCTGGTGGATCAGGCGCCTGATCAACCACTGTTGCTGCTGGCTGCACGGCAAACAACGTACGAGCCACAGCCCGGCTGATCAGGAACTGAACTTTAGGAGCTTGTCCATTGCCACTTTGAAGACTGCCAGGGGCTGTTGGTAATCCCCTTATGTGTGCTGGGAGGCAGATGAAAGCTCGCCCCTGACACTTATTGGTATGGTCCGTCTTAACAGTGCTGTGAAACCCCTGCCTTTTCATTGGGGGAGGTGCAATCGTCTGCCAAGTCTTTTGCTTTCGTAGTGAGTGATTTTTCGTGTGCAAGTTCGGTACTAGTCCCTCTAAGGATTTTTTTTATTTTTCCAGGTGTATATAATCATGTATCTCTCCTCCTGCTTTCCGGGGATTACAGTTTAGAAACCTCAAGCGCTCCCAGTAATTGAGGTGTTTTATCTCCGTTATGCGCGCCGTGAAAGTTCTCTGTACATTTTCTAGGTCGGCAATTTCACCTGCCTTGAAAGGTGCTGTTAGAGTGCAGCAATATTCCAGCCTAGATAGAACAAGTGACCTGAAGAGTGTCATCATGGGCTGGCCTCCTAGTTTGAAGGTTCTCATTATCCATCCTGTCATTTTTCTAGCAGATGCGATTGATACAATGTTATGGTCCTTGAAGGTGAGATCCTCCGACATAATCACTCCCAGGTCTTTGACGTTGGTGTTTCGCTCTATTTCGTGGCCAGAATTTGTTTTGTACTCTGATGAAGATTTAATTTCCTCATGTTTTACCATATCTGAGTAATTGAAATTTCTCATCGTTGAACTTCATATTGTTTTCTGCAGCCCACTGAAAGATTTGGTTGATGTCCGCCTGGAGCCTTGCAGTGTCTGCAATGGAAGACACTGTCATGCAGATTCGGGTGTCATCTGCAAAGGAAGACACGGTGCTGTGGCTGACATCCTTGTCTATGTCGCATATGAGGATGAGGAACAAGATGGGAGCTAGTACTGTGCCTTGTGGAACAGAGCTTTTCACCGTAGCTGCCTCGGACTTTACTCTGTTGACGACTACTCTCTGTGTTCTGTTAGTGAGGAAATTATAGATCCATCGACCGACTTTTCCTGTTATTCCTTTAGCGCGCATTTTGTGCGCTATTACGCCATGGTCACACTTGTCGAAGGCTTTGCAAAGTCTGTATATATTACATCTGCATTCTTTTTGTCTTCTAGTGCATTTAGGACCTTGTCGTAGTGATCCAGTAGTTGAGACAGACAGGAGCGACCTGTTCTAAACCCATGTTGCCCTGGGTTGTGTAACTGATGGTTCTAGATGGGTGGTGATCTTGTTTCTTAGGACCCTTTCAAAGATTTTTATGATATGGGATGTTAGTGCTATTGGTCTGTAGTTCTTTGCTGTTGCTTTACTGCCCCCTTTGTGGAGTGGGGCTATGTCTGTTGTTTTTAGTAACTGAGGGACGACCCCCGTGTCCATGCTCCCTCTCCATAGGATGGAAAAGGCTCGTGATAGGGGCTTCTTGCAGTTCTTGATGAACACAGAGTTCCATGAGTCTGGCCCTGGGGCAGAGTGCATGGGCATGTATTTATCGCCTGTTCGAAGTCATTTGGCGTCAGGATAACATCGGATAGGCTTGTGTTAATCAAATTTTGTGGCTCTCTCATAAAAATTCATTTTGATCTTCGACTCTCAGTCTGGTTAGCGCTTGCTAAAAAACTGAGTCATATTGGGACTTGAGTAGCTCACTCATTTCCTTGCTGTCATCTGTGTAGACCCATCTTGTTTAAGTAGGGGCCCAATACTGGGCGTTGTTCTCGATTTTGATTTGGCATAGGAGAAGAAATACTTTGGGTTTCTTTCGATTTCATTTATAGCTTTTAGTTCTTCCCGCGATTCCTGACTCCTAAAGGATTCTTTTTAGCTTAAGTTCGATGCTTGCAAATTTTTTGGGACCAGTGTCTCCTGCGCATTTCAGATATATTGACCTCTTTTAGCGCTCTGTTTTTCTTTTTCCGTCGCCTGTAAAGGGAGCGCCTGTCTCTTTCTATTTTACATCTACTCCTCCTTTTTCTTAGAGGAATAAGCCTTTTTGCATACATCGAGTGCCCCCGAGTTAATCTGTTCTAGGCATAATTTTTGGGTCTGTGTTGCTTAGTATATTTTCCCCAGCTTATATCGGTTAGGACTTGGTTTACTTGTCCCACTTTATGTTTTTGTTATTGAAGTTGAATTTGGTGAATGCTCCCTCGTGACTAGTCTCATTTTGTCGGTCTGGGGCTCCTCGCATACATGTCTGAACCTCAATTATGTTGTGATCTGAGTATATTGTTTTTGATATGGTGACATTTCTTATCAGATCATCATTGTTAGTGAATATGAGGTCTAGTGTATTCCAGTCTAGTAGGCTCTATTATTTGCTGGTTTAAATTGAATTTTGTGCAGAGATTTAAAAGCTCGTGTGAGTGTGAGTTTTCATCAGAGCTGCCTCCTGGTGTTATTACTGCAACAATATTATTTGCTATATTCCTCCTTTTTTGGTGCCTTAAGTTGAAATCCCCCAGGAGCAAGAATTTTGGGGTGGCAGGAGCTGGAAGATTTTCAGGACGTGGTCAATTTTTAACGCTTTTCCCGGGAAAATTGCTGGGATGTTGCATCCGGAGGTTTAGACTACCACAAGGGACTAGGTTTTGGTTCTCGACCTTTACTGCTAAAACTTCCACTACGTCATTTGAGGCATTAAGCGTTCTGTGCAAACAAGT